GATCTAGCTGCAGTGTTTGCGATCTGCTTAAATTTCTGTACACTTCCTAAAATTAGCCACATGTAGAGCTGTAACAGTAATTAATGTAGTCTTATCCCTCAAGTCTTAGGCAGTGTTCTTCTTCTTAATTTAAAATTCATGTCCAAATAGAAACTGTCAAGAGGAAGTGGCTATTAGTAGACTGAAATTCCAAGAGAAGCTCTTCACATTTCTGCGGTCCTGAGTAATCTGGGCACACCTTAACCAGCATTTCACTGAGCATTCTCCTTGAGTATTTACAGCACTCTTGAGCATGTTACCTCAGTGATCGTAAGGCCAGGGTTACTACCTTCATGCTGTAGGTGAGCACTTGAGGCTGGGAACATACTGGCCTCCATGATGTCCTCTAGTTAATTTGTGGCTGAGGTGAAATTTGCATTGGAGAACTGCTGTTTTATCTTGTTTGTTACTATAGACCACTCCAGTTTTCTGTCACATATACGTAGCTGGAACACAGTGGTGTCTTGAGGTGGAAGAGGTGCTTCATACCTCCATTTCAGGGTGGTGTGCTCCTATTTGCTTCCTGCACAAGCTGCCTATGCCCCATGACCAGAAGACTCTTGGCACTGCATAGTTTGGACGGATATGACTTTCCAGCAAAGGATTCTAGAATTCACCTGTTGAATTCAGGCTTGAAGCCCACCCTGAATCTCACGCAAATTGAACTCTACTGAACTTCATCTTCTAAGGATGAAGACTGACACACACACACACCCAAGAAAACAAGAGGTTGTTTGAATCAGTAAAGGCCCTGGGTCATGGGAGACAGTCACATTGTAGAGAAGAGGTGTGTGCGTGTGTGTGTGTGCGATCAGCTTGCATATATACATCTGGATAGGGCATCTGTGTGGTATTTTCACCTGGCCCTTTCTCTGTAATAAATATCGTCATCTGTAGCCATTTTGTAGATGCTTCCCATCAGGAAGCCCCTTTTAGCTCAGCGTCTTAGATTATTTAAGCAGGCATGAAGGCGGGGCAGCATGAGCAGTGCATATGTTAAGTTATGGGTCCACGGGTGACACCATTTTCTAGGTTATGGGTGCTCTTTGTTTTGTTTAAAGAAAAAAAAACCCATAACTTACAACAGATTTCTAACAACAGCCCCAGGTGCTTGGCTGATATTTTAAAGACTTTACAGTGACATTTGACCTTGAGATGGTAAACGGGTAGCCTTCTGGCTTTGAAGCGGGGGGGGGGTCTCGATGTTAGTGTTTTGTTTTGACCTTTTCTTTTCACTCCTAGGACATCTGTGATTTGCTTTTTAAATAAATGTTTCCTGGTTCTTGACTGGAGGCAGTTATTTCCACTTTTGAAAGACTCTGCTTCTGAGCACCTGCAGTGGTGTTACCGCTCCTTTTGCAGGTGTTCTTTGGTCTGTCCTACATTTAGAGCATGCACAAAGCAGTTGAGGAGAGACATCAAAATGCACCCAGCCTTCTCCTTAGACTCATTTTACCTTGAAAATATATGAACATATAATCTGTGCCAGTAAATTATCTAGACTTCCAACATGCCTTTTCAGGGCTTAGCTAGGTGATCAAATTGAAGCATGCTGGATTGAGCCAAATAGGGTCACTTAAGGTCATATAAAGGTACCCAGTGTGATGTTCTGGATAACGTGGCAGACTATGGAGACTCGGGTTGGCCATGGAAACTTACTGGAACTTGTAAAGCCACTCCTTAAATATCTGATTTACCTTGAACAAGTAAAAAGCAAGGGTCTCCAGACTTTTCAGAGTGAGGGCCACAATAGTATATGTTCCGGATTTTTGAGGGCCAAAGGAAGATGTGCTCTGGCATGCATATGCGTGTGTGTGCACGTGTATACCCACCCACATGCCTGCCTGCACTCCCATACGCCCGCATGCACGCACTCATGCATACACGCTCACAGTCCCGTGCGCTCACATGCATGCATGTGCGCGTACACTGGGGTGGATAAAAAGGCAAGGCCGGCTCGATTTGGCCCGCAGGCCACAGTTTGGAGGCCCCTGCTCTAAAGGAAAAAAGGAAAGAAAGAAAACAAAAAAGGAAACTTTCAATTTTAATAAAAAAATCTAAAAGGCATAGTGCATTAGTGCTGCCCTAAAAGCCTTAAAAAACACTTTGTTTCCTCTTTCTCCTCCTCCATGAAGGAGCAGACGAAGCTTTCAATTTCCCAATATCATTAAATGGTTTAAGCCATCTGCTTTGCTTCAATCCCAGTTATTGCACATGGTGGAACTGAACCAAGATGGAGCAGTTCTATCCACATCTTAAAACAGTAGCCCTGACAAAGAGCCAAAAAGTTGTAAGTAGAAATGTACCAGGGACAGGCTGGTTCATGCTGACACTTATGCAGTGTGGTTGCTGGGAAAAGGAGCAAACTAGCCTATCCCCAGAGTAGACCAAGCAGTGGGACAAATCCCTATGTAATCATCCCCTGAGAGGATGGGTAGGCCGATGGTTTGGAACAGAAGGTCACCCTGGATCCTTTGGCCATAATATATTCCAATTTATCTCTGATGCCAGAGATGAAGAAGAAAAGTCTTCTGGAAGGGGTATTGCAAAAACAAATACAAATATGCTGTAGTGACCTCAGGTTGGTCCACTCTTGCATTCCAGAGTACAGTACTTGATTTCAAGCATCCTCTCAGTTATGCTCTTGTGTGTTTTTTTTAATGTATTGTTTGGTTGAGGTGTTGTTCTTGCTCAACTGCTACTGAGCTTGAAAGGGAAAGCATGCATAGATTATTGAGTTAGAAGATTCATTTAGAATCCTTTCATCAACAGACAGTTATTGTCTTGATAAATCTGTATTTGTGTCTTTCCAGCCATCACAGCAACTGGGCTGGTTCACATATAACTCTCTCCCTGCACTAATATTTCCCCTATTTCCTCTGATGAAGAAGAATTTGAATACAGTACTTGTACTTCTTGGGCTCCATGATCATTGCAGATGCTGACAGCAGCCACAAACTGCTTCTTGGGAGGAAAGTGATGACAAACCTTGACAGCATCTTAAAAAGCAGAGACATCACCTTGCTGACAAAGGTCCACATAGTCAAAGCTATGGTTTTTCCAGTAGCGATATATGAAAGTGAGAGCTGGACCATAAAGAAGGCTGACCGCCAAAGAATTGATGCCTTTGAATTGTGGTGCTGGAGGAGACTCTTGAGAGTCCCCTGGACTACAAAGAGAACAAACCTATCAATTCTGAAGGAAATCAACCCTGAGTGCTCACTGGAAGGACAGATCCTGAAGCTGAGGCTCCAATACTTTGGCCATCTCATGAGAAGAGAAGACTCCCTGGAAAAGACCCTGATGTTGGGAAAATGCGAAGGCAAGAGGAAAAGGGGACGACAGAGGACGAGATGGTTGGACAATGTCATCAAAGATACCAACATGAATTTGACCCAACTCTGGGAGGCAGTGGAAGACAGGAGGGCCTGGCGTGCTCTGGTCCATGGGGTCACGAAGAGTCAGACACAACTTAACGACTAAACAACAACAACTTCTGCTTTGGATTAACCAGCTTGCTATGTCATCTGGCTCCAACAAACTGTGGCTAAACGTAACCATGATTTGTTGAAACAGCTGCAAATTGTGATTTAAGAACCTGGTTTGATTCAAGAAACCATAATTAAAATTACTACACTTTAGAGTTTAGATTAAATGTGCCATCTAAAACTGAAGCGAAAGCTTCCAATCTCTTTAGGACTACACTTGAAGATGAGAGAGTATAGTGGGAATATACAAGTCTGAGCTTCTCTGAAGGTCATCCGTATAATCCTAACCATTTTTGTGAATCATGTCTGTGTCTGAAACTTGCAGTGATTCTTGATGCCACCTTCTCTCCTCCTGTGAGTGCACTCATAGACGCGTGCACAAACGCCAAATTATTATTAATCAGGTCTTTGTACTTGAAAGAGAAATATTTGTGGAGATAATTAATCGGAGAAGAAATGAATTTAATGAGTCTGTGAATATCAAGTACTTTTGTACATTTGTAAAGAGACTATCAGCCCATGTGGAACACAGATATATTATAGATGAGGGTTGTTGTGTTATAATTTATGGTCCTTGGGGGCCAGGCCCAACTGCATCTGCATAACCCACCGTTCTTTCTAAGAACTCAAGGTGTGTACATCAATGGTTTCCATTCACACATACAAACCATTTCATTCTCACAGCAACACTGTTAAATTTAGATGGAAAAACAGTGACTGGCCTAAAACCACCTCTACAGGATTTTATGGCTGAGTGGGGATTGAACCCAGACCTCACCAAATGTAATCTTCCAGTCTGGCCACTGCATTCTTCTCTGGACCTTCATAAATGGGAAGTGAAGGTCACGACCTTCCTCTTCCTGTGTGTCCCTAGAGTCATGCAGGATTCACAAGTACAGTATTCTTCTCTGGACATGGGGTTTCTATACAGATATTATGTCTAATAGGAGACACTTCCTTGAGTGAAAATGGATGGAACTTTGTGCAGGTGGAGCTAAGAAGGGTGGAAAGGTGTGGCTTAGCCTGGTGGGTGGACCTTGTTGCTTTCCCCCTCTCCTACCCACTTCTTGAGAGTAGTAGACACCCTTGCTAGAGATCAAGAAAATGGAGAACAGTAGCAAGTTACAGTACAGTTTGCAGCTTCATACCAGTTATTGTTTTTAAAGAAAAATACACTGTTTCATTGGAATGTAAGGACAAGATGATATCCCAACAATTAGATGTCAGTGCCTCCCTTTTATTTTATTTTTTTAAGGACCTTAACTTTAGTGGGTCTTTGTTTCATAACTCCTGCTGCTACCTTTCTTGCTGGTGGTAGTTTGTGGTCCTGTAAGAAAAATTATAGTTAACGGAAATTATTTAAGGTTGTCCAATGTTTAAGAGGCATTTCTTAGAGGTGGTGAAGTGTAAAAACAGTTTGAGACTTTGGACTTAAAAGAAAAAAAAGTATTTTCCTTCTTCTGTTGAGCTCTAGAGAGGGGAACGATTCTGTGCATCAGGCAGTAGTCTTTCCCCTGAACAACTGTATATCTGCTTGAAAAGCTGCACAGCTTTGATGAAGGAACAGCAGGAATTTGGTGAGTTAAGGCATCAGGTGTGAAGGAAATAAAATTTAAAGTTGGACATATTTTATTTATTTATATTTTAAATGGATATTGGCTTTAACTCACCTCTATCCCAACCCGGGAGAGAGATTGCCAAACATCTTTACATTGTAGATCTGAGGTTAAAATACTTGCTCAGCCGAGTAGGGAACACGGTGTACTCTGTTTTGTAAACAGTCCAGCATTTTCTTGACTCATTTCTATTCCTGTTGCATGTTATTCTTTCTCCTTCCATCTTGTTTGCAAGGAGCTTAGAAACTGCGGAACATTTTGACTTGTGTTTCTGTTCAGTTCTTGACAGGGAAAAAAGGGATCCTTGATGTAAATTGGACTTAAACCATCCCTATGAACCACTGAGTGTAACAACCTACGACAAGACTGCTATGGGGAGAGGAAAACAAAGGGACCACAAGTGTCTTTGAAAATACAAGTGGCAGCAATTTGAGCCATAAGTGCCAGTGAGGCTTTGTACATTTTGCAGTCATCTGATAATAATGATCTGTAATTCTTTACAGTGTTTGCTGCTGGAACAGGCTGTACATAATAGAAGAAGATAAGTCAAGCTGGCTTTTAGTGTGGTGTATTCCATGCCTCCCCCCTTTTTGCCTCTCCAAACTTGTACTTTGGTGACTCCATGGGGCACAGGAGACCAAGCGAAACAACATGTCAAAATGGCCTCAGCTCTGACATAGTGCTGAGCTGTGACTTAGCCGTGGGTGAAAAAGCTTGAGATTCATGTACTGTTCACCTCAGTTACCTTCTCTCCTCCACCAGGTTTACAAGGTGTATAGAAGATATAGTGGTACTGGTATATGAATATGAATACCCCCACACAGCTGGAGTTGAGGGGGGTCCGGCCTCTGGGGTCTACTCACGTGTCTGCTGGCAGTGGCCCCATTCTTCCTTCCAGTTGCTCCAGAGCACCCGGGAATATGAATACCACCACACAGCTGGAGTTAACGAGGGTCCGGCCTCTGGGGTCAGACGGCTGGCAGTGGCCCCACTCTTCCTTCCAGTTGCTCCAGAGCACCCGGTTGGCTAGCCACTCATCAGCCTTGCAGGGAGACTCACCTTCCCTCCTTCTGCCCGGAGTGCCTAGCCGACTGGGCATTCCAGAGCAATTGGAAGGAAGAGCGGGGCGAACAGCAGCAGCGGATGTGTGAATCAACAATCTGGCCCCAGGGGGCGAGACCCTTGTTAACTCTAGCTGTGTGGGGGTATCGTGTGAATGGACAATCTGGCCCCAGGGGGCGAGACCCTCGTTAACTCTAATTCATATTCGTATACCAATACCACTATCTCTATCTTCTATACACCTTGTAAACCTGGTGGAGGAGAGAAGGTAATTGAGGTGAACAGTACAGTACATGAATCCCAAGCTTCTTCTACCCCCATATCAATTAGAAGTCTTCATTTCCTTCTTATGTTTCAACACAGAAAAAATGTGATTGGTCTTAATTGTGGCTTGGAGAAAGAAAACAACTTTCGGTAGATGCATGCCAGTTTTTTCATACTACAGTAGGACCCCCTTATTCATAGGATCAGTATCCATTGATTCACTTATCCATGGTTTGAAAATACTAAAAATATTAAAAGAAAAAAAATCCAGAAACATACACACACCCTATTTTCATATGCATTACCAGAACGGGCACTAGAGGGAGGCAGAGAATGTGCAATGAATATTTGTTAGTGAATAATACATAGCATGAGATGGCTGGACAGTGTCTGCGAAGCAACCAACGTGAATTTGACACAACTACAGGATGCAGTGGAAGATACGAGAGCCTGGCATGCTCTGGTCCATGGGGTCATGAAGAGTCGGATACGACTGAACGACTAAACAACGATGACAAATACATAGCATGGTCTCTGCCCCCCTCTAGTGGCTAGTTCTGGTAATGCATGTGCAAATATTTTTTCCTGTTTTCTTTCTTTTTACCACACTACAGTGTTCACTTTTGTCAGTGGTTTTCAGTATCCGGGGGGGGGGCTTGGAACCAATCCCCAGTGGACATGGGGGTCCTAATGTATTTCCTTTCATGAAAAACTTATAGAAGGAACCAAGGTATATTCTATCTTTCTCTCCTCCTTCTACTATGCCGCTATCCTGTATTCTTTCTCATTGGCATTCTTGCTGTCCTTGCCTCTTAACCAGCAGAGACAGAGACTTATGGGGCACTCAGTGGTAATGAGTGGCTTTCCATTAAATGCCTCAGCTCAATCCTTGCATCTCCTGGTAGAGCTGAACTTGACTCCTAAGTGATACCGAGGTGAGCCTCTGTTAACCAATGTACCTGAGTTAAATGAACCAGTAGCATAAGGCAGCGTTTCTTTTCCTGAGTGTAAGCTTCAGCAGGCCTCCAGACTTAGAGATCTAATTCCTTTCCTGACAATAGTAAAAAAATAAAATAAATATAAAAATAAAATAACCAGGCTGTTTACATTCAGAACTGTTTTGCTTGCTGGTTCAGAGGGCCTTCTCAGTGGTTGCTCTCAGGCTTTGGAACACCCTGCTCTATGAAGCTTGGTTGGCCCCCTCCCTCATGTCCTTCCATCCGGAGGCAAAAAACTTCATTTTCAAGATGGATTTTAAACAACAGTTAGGGGGCTCAGAATGCTATGTTCATTGAATTTAGAGTTTTTAAAATGTTTTTGAAATTGTTTTTAGTTGAGGTTTTAATATTGATACATGCTTGTTTTCTGGTATAGATTTCTTATGGTGTTTTAAAAATATGTGATTACTGTATAGTTGTAGCTGCCTTGGGTCCCTTTTGGGAGAGAAACATGGTGTGCAAATAAACAAAGGTGTTTTGTTTGTGAAAAAAAAATTCATACCTGAAAGTTAGCAAATAATTTTATTCCCACCAGTTGCTGCTTTTCACTCCTGTGCTTTTCTCCCCTCCGTTCTTCACAGCAACCTCCATTTTCATCTTCCCTTCCCTCTCCGTTCCTCTCTCCACTCCTCTCCCAGCTGATCTCCATTCCCTTCTCTGACTCTTGTCCTTGATGACATAGAGACGACACTGGCTACAGTGGTTGTCAAAGTGAGGGTTGTGCACTAGTGGCAGGCACTGGCTAGTATAATAAGAAGGGTCACAAATGTGTGAGGTCACAAAGTAAGCCATTGTGAGTTGGGGTTCCTTGAAATAACAGAGGCCTGTGTAGCCTAGATCTTGGGTACCATCACATTAGGTCTCCTACTGTGGCTGTAGGTCTTACAGGGCATTCATCTGAAAAAGGAATGAGTGCATTTTGTGTGTGTGTGTGTGTGATCATGAACGCTGCCTCTATAGGCATAGTTACTGGTGGAGTAAGGGAGGATAAACATGCTGAATCTTTGGGTATCAAAGATCTAGTCTAACCCACAGAGCAGCTCAGTCCAGCCCCATTGTTTGGTAGTCATATTTTCATTCCTTTAATCGATTTCAGTGCTATACACCTTAATATTTCCACAGAGATTTATGTCTGGTGTATTGCCTGCAGGGTTATAATATCAGCACATAAAGAGAGATAAAATCTGTAACACCAAGCAGTGATTAAGCATTTCCCTCGGTGGATTTCTTTATAGTATTTCATCTCGGTAGCCATCATTCTGAATGAGATGAAAGGAAGCCTAATATAAGTGCATTGAATCATATTTGTCATTACCGTGCTCTGGCCTTTCCCTTTTCTCATCTCCTTTTGTTATCTCTCACACTCTCAACGTTTATATTGTTAGCTTCCTTGGAGAATGATTAATCTTTTCTAGCCTTTACATGACCCTTTAGGCATCACACATACCAATACTAGGCTCAGAAACTAAGAAATAATTGGATAAAACTCATGGAAGGAACAGCCATGTCAAGAAGCAGGCCAAAGGCCTGGAGATTATTAAAACAGCTTAACAGTGGACCAACTAAAGGCTCCACTCAAGCCAATATTTCAACAAATCAAATAGCCCATCAGCTTCTCATTAATGGCACAGTTAAACATTGCCATAGGACATCAGAATTTGAACTTGAAAAAAAATGAACAGTTGGAGACCAGTAGCCTTTCAAGACCTTAAATGAACTGGAAAAAGCTATTTGTAGCTGCAAAAATGGCAAAACAGCAGGCCTCAATGACATCCGCATAGAACAGATAAAACATTTTGGCAGAATAACAAAAAAAGGGGCTACTTAATTTCTTTATTAACTGTATTGACTCTCTCAGGAACTCAAAAATTTGGAGAAAGTCGTAAGTGCTTGCCATCTCGAAACTTGGTAAAGCACCTACAGATCCAGAAAATGTCAGGCCAATCTCAAAACTTTGTCACCTTTAGAAAATCTTGGGAACAACTATTATCAATTGTCTAGTGGAAGTAGTAGGGCCACACCTCATCCAATAACAGGTTGTATTTAGACCTGGGAAGAATTGTACAGATTCCTGAAGTTTTCTGCTCTATCCTAGATGCTAGCGCTCAGCAAGCCAAGAGTTGTCATCTCTTGAAGTGTTTGCAGTAAAGACCAATAAGATGTCCAGAGACTTCAGTAACATTGTGATTGGGATCTTTTATCCTTTGAAAAAGTAGGAATGGAAGGTGTGGAACAATTGGGAATGTAAGTCTATTTGGGATGCAAGCTTTATGGAAGGAGATCAGGGAACTGCATTAATAGAAGTGTAGCCTTTTAGGCTAAATCTACCTACTTACCTAAGGGTAAGCCCCCTTGAAGTATCTTGGAAGAGATCTAAGGAATAATTGCAAGTGGACAACTGAAAGGGATGTTCTTGACTCTGTAGTGTGTTTGAATGTGTTTGAATGCACCAGGCAACAGCCATCACATATATGGACGTTCTCTGTCCTGAGTTGCATGCATGTTCTGCTGATTAATTACTCTGAGTGCTTCCATGCTTGAGTGGCAACCACCCTTTCTGCAGATACAGAGAAATTTAATTGATGCTTCCTGCACTGACATGTGAAAGATAAATGCATGCTTGCTGACAGCTGTGTC